TAAGAGTTTTGGAAACTTGGCAGGAAACAAGTGGCCTTTGGGAGCTGGGCAGGTGTCACGAGCATTTGGGGTTATGTAATAGGCACATTAATTGTATACTGCTGCAAAAATGATCTGCTGTCAAATAACTGAGAGTTTCAGTGTCAGTCTGCTCCTCCCTCTTTAGGCTTCAGAGTTCTCTGACCATTGAAATAAGTTAAATATAGTCAAATTCCTGTGATCTGCTGCTCCATACTGTTGATGTGTTCAGGAGGGTACTGCTGCCTTTGCTCAAACTCTACTGATATTTTAAGGACAGTTTGCAAAATTAAAGCGTGTAAAGGTTTATTTTAAAATAATCTATTTTGATGGTCGTTCTTTAGGAAAAAGCCTGCAGCAAATTCTTTGGCCATACAAATAAAAAATATGCTGGACTTCTGTTTAGAGTAGAACTATGAAAGAGCAAAACAAGATTTGTGCCAAAAGTTTTCTTTTGCACACTGCAAAGTGGAATTTCCCTGAATTGCTCTTCTAGGTATTTTTACTGTTTACAGAGTGGATATTAAAAGGCACAGATATTTGGGATCTCACTTGATACGTAATTGTGGTATGGGAGAGCTGCCCTTGGAGCAAGGCTTTATCTAAACTGAATGAAGCGTAAAAACCATCTTAATTTCCTGCGCCGTAGGTATACACAACCCGTGTGTCTAAATGAGGGAAAAGCAATAGCCAAGCACTGCTGAATTTCTCAGTTTTGTCCTGTGCTCTGCACAGGGGCTTGCCCGCCGCCCCGGCTCTAAGCGCTTGCCGCTAGAGGCCCTTCTGTGCTAACGGGATGCCGCGCAGACATTTCACAGCTGCCGCTGCGCCTACGTTTGTGGGCTGAAGTTGTGCTCATGGAAAAGAGTTGCAAAGTTTCCAATATTTTCATTGGTGTAACAGCAGGTTTGTAGGTCAAAGACAAAGTTTCTAGGCAACCAAAATCAAGAGTCGGTGTTATTTTAAATATGTTGACAATAATGTAGTTCGACTGAAATAAAAAAGAGCATTTTTGCTTTACTCTAAAGCTGAAGTGCTCAACCTGTACCTGCTTAGGTGTTCTAGTGCAATGAACTACATGCTTCAATTATAAGAATTTCAGTGATATTTAAACAAGTTTAAGTGATGCTTGAAAAGTCACGCTGTTCTGACTAGAGTGCTAACAAAATTATTATTTTTTTGAGAAGTTTTTATTTTGGCAATGAAATAGAAAGATTCTTTACTGTTCTATTGTTATTTATAGCAGTCAGAACATTAAATACTTTTCTGCTTTAATAGGATATAGTATTGAGAGTGTTCTGTGTGTAGCAGGCTCTCAAATGTTTCAGATCAAAGTCTATAAACTTAATGTCTTTCAACATTAAGGATTACAGATAAGCTGGAGCCACCGTGCATTTACAAAAGTGATTTTTTCAGACCTAAACAGATCACATCACAAATTAGATTTGTATAGTGGCAGAGTACCAGCATTCTGGCAAACGTGCACATTAACTTTGCAGACCAGAAAGCTAATACAATTTTTGTTTAAATAGATAACATCTAGGGCTAATATTTCTTCATATATCTAAAATATGATTAATTTAAAGTTAAGTTGCTCAATAACAACATAATTTATTATTGTTGTGCATTACTTCAACATATTACCTCTACAATGACTTCAGAGATTAGCTTCCACCCAAGTGAAATAAATGAAGGTCCAAGTGTATCAGAATTATATTTACTGAGAAATTTGAATAGGCTTCTCACCTGTGAACTGGTACAGTACACACTGACCATTCTGTCCTAATTTATTCATTTTTAATAAAAGACACCAATACGAAGGAGGAGACCTGTGGACTCTCGAGCTAAAACTGCAGTTTGAGAGAGCTTGTCCAGTGGCGGGGCTCAGTTTTAACTTTGTGCTTATGAGAAAATCAGTTTGAAGGACCGGCCGCATCAGTTGCTGGGACCTGGGGAGCAGCACAGGCTTCCTCGGGGAGTGCCCGTCCTCGCTCCATCGCCCAGCCCGCTCTCCCCAGCCGGCAGGGACCCGGGCAGGATGACTGCAGGACAGCTGCGGGAGCAGCTCTTCTGGGCGGTGCATCGCTGCACGTATTTTTTGTTGCTGGCATCGCAGCGATGTGGCTCTGTGGGAGCCCGGGGCCACACTGCCCTCTCCCCAGCTACGCGATCGGGGAAACACAGCTTTGCTGCCGTTGTCTTCTGACTCATCCCACATCTCCTCATTTGTGGGGAATGTGGGAGCCTTCTTCTTGCTACGTGTTGGTCTAGTGTCCAGTAACATGAGCCCTCATCCTCTCCCAGGCCTGCAGGCACCATGCTCACGTACGTACGTGGGAAAATATTGCAATAGAAGGGAGTGTTAAGACGATTATCAGGAAGGCATTTGCTAGACGCAGTCATGGTTCTTGCCTAGGTGGAAAGGAGGACTACACAAATCGGGAGAGTAGTGCTACCTGCAGCCACTGCTGTGCCTGCAGGTACGCCTTGCGGGAACGTCTGAGGTTGCATCTGCATCTGTGAGACAGCAAGTGTGTTGTCTTAAGCATAATTCTGTGGTAAAGCTGTTGACCGCATGGAAAACAGCATTTCCAAACTAGAAAAGAAATTTTTCCCTCTCTGAATTCATAGGTTTTCACTCATTTTAGTAGAATACTGTTAAATTATATCTGATTTTTCGGGAAGAACCCATTGTTTCCAGAGAAGGAATCACCTCATGCTATTTTAGAGATCTGTGACTGAAGACTTTTATTCTGCATTTTATACTGAGGCCAACCACAGAAAAAAATTAGTCTAGAAATGAGTCATGGGTTTTTACAATGAAGGCAATTAATCACTGGACCACCCTGACATGGGTTGTGGTGGATTTTTCATCACTAAAATTTTCTATCAAAATATAATGTTTTTATAAAAGACATGCCCTTATTCCAACAAGAATTAATTTGTGAATGTCCTATGACCTGTGCTGTACAGGAGATCAGTCTCAGTTACTACAGTGGTCTCTTCTGGCCTTATGATTTATGAATGTACATGTATGCATGTATTTGCTTCAGTAGTTATTTAAAATGTTTAGTGTTTGTATTTTCAGTATTTTCTTTCAAAAAATTAAACCTTTTGTGGTGATTGCACGAGTCATGTTTCCCTAAAAGCAAACAGCATAGAAACAATTGTTGTTTTGGCTACTTTGAAGTTAAATAAATAAATCTTTTAATTAAATCTGAAGGATTACTGAATGTAAAGGGGAATAAGAACAAACATACAAGTAATTTAAAAAGATCAGAAATACAGCCAGCTAACTTCAAAACTTAATATTTACGAAGGCCAAAAAAGCGGCTTAATTTTTAAAAGTGCAAGTTCAACACAACAACAAAATAGCCCCCTACAACTTTCCAATGTTAAATTAATTAAACATTTTAAATTATGCCATGAAACTGGGGGAATACTAAAATCTGACACAGGCTGTAGTCTGCTTCATGTAATACTTTGTTGTTTAATATAGGCAGTGGTGATTTAAATGCAGTTTAATATAAATACATATGCATATACACTTGAAGAATCACTTTAGAAAAAAGACTAAGTCTCTCTTCTAGGCGGTAATCTGATCATTTCCGAGGTAGCCTTAATGTTTATTTAAAAAAAAAAAAAAGAGCTATGTATCTATAAATGTAAATTTTATAAAGCTGACAACATGTGCAGACAGCCGGTGGCTGGGATGAATGCTTTCCTCCAGGTGAAGAGCAGCCGTGGCAAACAAAAGTTGGGACTGGGCCGTAACTGTCTTTTGGGTCGGATGCCCCGTCCCCTGAGGCAGGAGGGGGCAACACTAACACTAACAGCGTGATTGTAAACCAGATAGCGGGGAGGCTGGTCTGCCATTGCCGATCTTGATAAACTAAACCTCCCCTGGGAAGTGTCACGTGTATTCAAAGCGTGCGGTGCAGCCTCCTGACCTCTGGAGCCCACACATATACCTGCAGAAGCACTTCGTGGAGAGACACGGAGCGGCGGTGGCTCTCTCCTTTCACTTGAGCTCTGGCAGAGCCCCGCTGCCCCTGGGAGCACCCTGCGACTGCTGCTTGGCGAGAGCAGTGACCTGCTAGGAGGGTTTTACCCAGAAACTGCCTGCCAGACTTGGAAGCAGATGCTCAGCTGGTGTAAGACGGGAAATGACACTGAGGAGTGACATTGCTTTCTGGCTGCCTGAGGTTCTGCCTAGCACTCGGGAGCACTCAAGGGCTTTCTGAGACATTTAACAACCTCTCTTACCCTTTAAGTGAAGAAAGTTTTTGGCAGTAGGGTGTGGGTCAAGCTTTCAAACTGCTTTTCAAGGGTTCGGTATTCTGTCTTAATGGAAAAGATTAGGTACACCGTAGTTAATACCGCTATATTTACTGATGAGGTGTGGATTGATAGGTACTGTGTAGGGACAGAAGGAAGCTGTGTTTTCCAGTTTTCCTTGCTCATTTACTATCTCTCCATCATTTACTTTCAATTAAAAGATTAGTGGTAATTTAGTTCAACCACTATGGTATGAATTTCCTGCTTCTCTAATTACAGTTGAGGAGGGAGTAGGGATAAAGAAGTAATCTTGTAGGTTTGGAGAAGGAATAGATAACTTCTAGCAAGCGATCTTTACCCTGAACTCTGCCATGGCCACTAAAGATTACTATTAAATGTGCCAAGAAGAAAATGCAAATTAATATTTGTATCTCAGTATAACCTACTGGAATGACACTTAAGCATTTTAAGGGATTAATTGAAGCTCATTTGTTGCCAATGTATATACTTATTTATTTCAGCAGAAATAACATCCTCTTAAAGTGAATATTTGGGTAGTAATACAGGCCTGCCTCTGAGAGCAAATCTTCTGAAGGAGCTGCAGATCACAACACCCAGGCAAGCAGCTGCACACATAAGGGTTATTTTCTCGGGCTTTCTTTTACCTTTTTAATCCTCTTATTCTTTTCTTTGCAGAATAGTGGAATTTTTTACAGCTACAGAATGGTCCTTTCTTTATAGGATATATGATTGTTTCTTGAAAAAGGATGTTATGCCTGCAAGTTGTGCAGGTCAGTTTATAAGCAATATGGGTAACGTGTGTTTAAAGCCTCACATCTGATTTGGTAAATTTAGTCTTACCAGGCTACCTGGAATTAGGCTAGTTAATTGGTGGAACTGTTTCCATAGCCTTATTACATACCATGGGGCTGCTGCTTCTCTCTACTGAGGTAGTTTACACAGATTTGAAGGAATATAGTGGTTGGCTGTACTTTTTTGTAAGACATGCAGGTGTATATACAATGGGAAATGCTTTCACTGACTGACTCAAACTGCTGGATAGGAAGCCTAGTCACATTAGTTAAATTTAATGTATCAATAGTAGCTTTAATTTGCTCAATGGCAGGCAATTGAAGCATTTGTTTCAGTGTTTGGCATTAAGATTCTAAAAACACTTATTTCTTTGATTTATCTTACTCATACAACTGCGTCCATTCTTTAAGGCTGCTTATCTTGGTTTCATGGTCATAAGCTTAGAAACCAAATTCTCTGTGACAACATGGGTGGCAATCAGGTACCTGAACAGCAAAGTGACTTTAGGTGTTCATTAGTGACACTAGACCCCTTCATTCTGAGTAATTCAGTCACTTCCCAGGATAAAATATTAGACTATGTTATTTTCATACAAATGCTCATTTCTGGGGGGAAAACAAACAAACAAACAAACAAACCCCAAAGCAATATCATTAGTCCAGTCTGAGCTCAGTGTAACTGGAAAATAGCAGCACATCACAGAACAAAGATTCTCAGAATTATGCGGAAACTACACAGAAGCTATCAGGAAAGCTTAAATTAATGATGTCCTGTTGAAAAGTGTCTTTTCTTAGAGTGCACTTACAGAACAACTCATCAGGCTGGAAAATAATAAAACAAGAAGGCAAGATGATAGCCAAAGTTGTTCAGCTGTGGGACGATTTACTGAATACTTTAAATTCACACTTTATCTGATGCTTCTCATTTTTGATCCCTGTTTTTCCCTGTTACATTAACCCCTTTAGGCAGTCATTCATGCACATTTGCAGAGTGAATAAGACAATGTCTGCCTGTTTCCAGATTTAAAAGCAATCCATAACATCTCATTCAAAATGCCATTTTCAGCAGAGATTAGTGATTAGCTTGCTTCATTTTAAAAGAAATTTAAATTTATTTGAATAGCGTTTGAATCTACAGCAGTGATACCATGAAACTAAAGATTATGGCCTGAATAGCTCATTGCATGTGCTTTCTTCTTTCAAAAGCACAGAGGCCTGTATTATTTTAAATATCCCCTAGCCATTGTTGGACTTTCTGCTGAGAGTCCACTGGACTCTTTCCCTTTAAGCCAGTAAACCTAAGTCCTCTTTCTTCCTTTCAATTAAAATGAGATTAATCAGCTTAAACTTATGACTTCCTTATGCCAATCCATCAAGAAAAGCTGCCATTAACTTCATAAACAAAGTAGCTTTTATATCAAATTTCCTCCACCTTTCCCACAGTAAAGATGGAGCTGGGAGAGACAGGCTATTGCTAGGATTCTCCATCAGGATATGAAAAATATGAATTGCTGAACAGAACAAAAAGAGCATCCCTAAGGCAGGCTTGTTTTCTACTTCATCGTGGCTAATACTCATAAAAAACAGTGTTAGGAATAATGTAAATAGGGTTTAAGGTGGAGAATAGCTCCCCTAAAAAAGTCAGCAGTTGTCTCACAGAGCTGCAGCTGAAATCCTGTCCCACACTCTATGCGAGATTCCCAATGCAGATTCATAGGGGGATGCCCTCCAATACAGTTTATTTGTTCATAACAAAATACAGAGCTGGATATTTAAACCAGAATTATAATAATAATAAAAATCTTGCTCTACAAACCCCATAAATGTACGTCCCACTTGTAAAATGTGTCCCTAAGCGATGGCTTTCCACTTGAGAGCAGAGGTGGCAGTGGACTCTGGTCTTGGGAGTGGTGGTTCCCAGCCCGGGTTCAGTCAGTGAGCTACTCTGGAATGGCCTGTGTCCTACTAGTGACATCTGTGCAACAGTTGTTCTCTTCTTCTTTTCCATTAAGATTGTGCAAATATTTACTAAGATCTTTTGGGCAGAGTCCATAAAGATTGTGCAGTGAGAGAAGAGGGGAAGGAAACCCCTTTTACACAGTGACAAGACATTTGCCATGCCACCTAGAAATTATACTGACTGAAAAGATTTAATTTCTCTTTTAGCCTGGCAATAAATTTACATACCTCAAACAAAACTAAGATGTGCAGGGGGTGGCTTATTTATCATTTATAGAAAACTGAAGTGGTTCTTTGGTCAAAAGTGAAAATGCTTCCATGCTGGGAGGCAGCTTGCACACATTTTGTTTCTTCCTCAGTGGCCTGGAGCCCAGCTAAGAGCCGTTGTTTCTGTCAGGGCAGAAATGCACTGACAAAGCTCTTTCCTCCTGCTTCCGTCCCACATGTCATGCACTAACTGCATCCCTGGCATCTGCACAGCACCACTCAAGTTCAAAAAGCTGGGCTTTCTCACATCCCGGTCTCCATCTGCAATCATTGTGGCAGCACAGGGCAATGCTGGAGGGGAACGAGCGTAGAGACCCTTAACCTTTTGCCAGCGTGAGCCAGGTTATCTGTACAGTGCAGTCTTGTGCTGTGCAGAGCTGCTTATGTGGGCCTGAGGTCAAAAGAGTCAAACTGAAGCTTCAGTGGGGGAATATAAGCCTTCCTTCTCGCGTGACCTGGGTGCATTGCTGCCCCAATGCAGCCATCCCACTGTGGCTTTCAGAGCTAATGCAGCCAGTATCAGCTTGTGCACTTTTCCTTCATCCTTCACCTCACTAATATTTCAGCATTTTTTGATCATCACCCACTTTCATATGAAAAAAAGTAGATTGCTAAACAGTTTCTATTAGCTTTGCGCTCAGTAATCACTATGGGGTTATTTCTTTATTAGTAAAGTGGGGTAATACCATTTAGTCATGCTCCCATACTGCTTTATAGTCTGGAAATATGAAATGTTAAACATGCATGGAGCGGTATTAACCTTGTAAGCTCATCTGGGCAAGAATTGCATCCAGCTCTGTTTATTCTAAAAATAACATTTTTCTTAAAAGGGATTAAAGTTCCTTGAGTGCCATCCTCCCCTGCCAAAGCAAACCCATAAAAGCAAAAAGATGCCAAGCAATGGGACATTTCTTACTGATATCCTCTCATGGCATATTTTCCTTGACAATGATAGATTACATCTTTTCAAGGAATTTTTGCCTTCCTCAGATAAAGAAACAGAGCACCCTGAACATGTTAATCACTTTTGCTGGCTATTAAAACCCCTGCCTTAAAACCTCAAAAATGCCAGTGAAAACTGAGTCTTGACAGATGGTCGCAGGCTGTGTGCAGTGTGTTTATCTGAGGACGAAGTATGAAGTCATATGTCTGTGTGTATGTCTGTGATGTATCTTCACTGTGCGCTTCTTGCTCAACCTTTAAATATCAGCTTATTGAGTGATAAACGAAGTAGAATATGGAATTTGCCTGGCTGTTTTCGTTAAAAATTGTGTCCCGTTTACAATCATTGCATCCATTTTTTCTCTTTGTGGGTTGCTGTGTTCTGAACTCAGGGTGAAATGTGTGAGCACAGGGATTTTTTTAAATGCAAAAAGGTGGCCCCAGGCAAGGTTTAGGTCTTCAGAGTACAAGACAAACTCTTAGAAATTTGTGCAGCCACCAAAGCAGTTAAGTCTTGCTTCTGTTCATGTCTGCTAAAGGTCTGTATGCCTGCTCTGCTAAAAGGTGGAATACTGAGGAAATCCACAACTGCGTTTCAAATATATTTTGTTAATAAATACACTATGAACTATCATATCAGGGCATAAACACCGAATGGGACTGCCAAAAAAAAGAGCTGCTTTTTATTAACCACTAACAGGATGATTGCCAAAACCAGAAGTCATAATCATATGAGAGACCTTCAGCTGTCCTTTCATAAATTGATAGTGATATTCTTTTTCTTTTTAGGCTTTTGTTTCTATGAGTCTGTAGCACAAATTACCGCACTTCTGTGGTGCTGTATGCCATACAATGAATCTTCTTGAACAAGAAATGAGAAGAAACTCCACTTTTTACTGAGAGAGGACTTGGAATGCTCTGGCCTGTCCACATCCCTTTACTTGCAAATGATTGATATCACTGTGGTTTCATGCAGTGAAATAATCACTTATGGAGGAAAATGGGCTCTGTCTAAAGAAACACGGTCTGAAACTATCGGGGTGTAAATAGTACTGTTTTTGTCATCAAGTGTGACTGGGAAAAGGTCATGTTATGCCAAGATTTACTGTAAATTGTTAGGGAATAGGATGGGTTTGGATTTACAGTTGACAAGCTTGACAAGACTTGGAAAACTAAGGGGGGGAAGCCACCCTTAGGGTACATAGGTGAGGAGTGGCACAGAATGGTGATAAAGATTTTCTCCTGATCAGAAAAGTTTCTGTAAAAGCAAGTTTTTGTTCTCTTGAGCAAAGAAGCGTATTATGTTCTCATTTTAATCAACAGTTAAGATACCGTTATGAGGTAGACTTAAACTGGACAACAATGTAGTTACTGAAACATTTCCCTGTGGAAGGAGGGAATGTCTTGTAGTGGTGAGTGTTAAACTTCTTCAAACTCTGTACTAGCCTCATTTTGTTCTGTGCTTCTAATTGTATATCCGCCGAATGGTGACACCTAACTTTGCAGATCTGTTGTCATCCTGAGCAGCAAGATGTTACCGATAGAATTAAAACCCTGTTCATTAATGTAGAAACTTCTCACCTGCATGCTGAAAATACAACCCATTGCAGGATGTGGAAGCACCGTTACAGGACACTACTGCATGTTGCTATCACTGGCTCATTTTTCTAAACATGCAGGTGAGTACCATTACACTCAAACAGTAAAGCCTCAAACTGTATTTAAACACTTACTTTGTTAAAAAAAAAATATATTACAAACTGCTGTATGAGGGCATAAGAGAGGTGCCGATAAGATTGACTAAAAAAGACTGGTGTGTTTGGGTTTTTTTTTTTGACCAGTAACAGGATAATTGCCAGGTAACTGCCTTGAGATACCTGGGAGATTTTATGAGAACTTGTAACATCACGCACCAGCAATTCAGCTGACCTGTGGCTTTACTGTGCAAAACAGTAAAGAAAAGGACTAGACCTATACTTAGAATAGATGCAAAGACCTGCCTGTATCAAATGGTATTAATTTAGTCACTCTTCAAACTGTCTTATCACCTAAGTACCTCTGAAGTTATCAAATATTGTGTAACCGTGGTGAGCAGAACAGCGTTTTAATTCTGTCTTGTAAAAACCCACTGCACACAGTGAAAATTGCCCTCACCTGTATTTAGAAATTTGCCCCTTAATAGAGAGTTGTAGTAAATTGAGAATTTGGCTCATTGGAAATACACTAAAATCGGAGACTATCTAGTTCATTAGGGATATTCAGCTCTTATAAGATCAGAGTGCTCTGACCCCATAGTTCAGAAGTTACTGACAAATTTAGATTAAAATATAAAGAATATATTAGACAGACTATCTCAAAACATTAATGCTCCCAATGGTTTTAGAAAAATCTATGAAATATGGTCTTTAGGTTGTTTACCCTGCATAGAATGGGGGATTAAGGCTAGAAAAAATGAGTCTGTGAAGCACATTTGGTCCAAAATCCACTAGAGTCAATTAAGATTTACATCGTCTTCAGTAGGTGTGGTATCAGCCATTAAGACAGAGTGAGATTCAACTGTTTAGTATAATACAAGAAAAAATTTAGTTGTTGCACAAGTTTAGCACTAAAGTTATAAGTTATGGAAGTATGCAGTCACTATTCAGCTTTGTTGGTGTTTGTTACATTTGACCATAGAAAGCCTTCTTTTACAGAACTTTTATTTTGAGAATGTTTGATCTCTATTTATGATTTTTAATCTTTATATGGCCTGTACAAAGCTCAAAAATCAACATGTTAACAATGAATTTTCACTTTTCAGATATAATGTGCAGATGCTTACCTCCACATGAGACTTGTGGAATAAACAAACAGCAGTGTTACCTGTCAAAACATAAAAATAGTGGGCGCCTGAGGTTTGTGTAAGTGCCATACAGCCAGCCCGTGTTTTCCTCAGGTATGAGTTCAGTGGAAATGTGATACAAAACGCAGCACAAAGCTCTTCGCACTGCTGGCCCCAGGCAAGCTGTTACAGCACAGGACACGTTCATGTTGGAGATAGTCACGCTGAGCTCCCTGTATTGTCAGTGGAGTGAAGCAGGCACTTTGAGAGGAGTCACCTGACCTATTTTAAACAGTTACTCAAGTGAGATGAATCACGTTCCTTTCTATAAAAACTCTTGATATGCTCTTCACTGACTAGCTGAGATGCAGGTTATTGTAAAACTCCAGTTTTTATTATAGTAGAGTACCTTTGCATTTGAAACCCTAGGGTACAGAATGCTAAACTGTGGCTCTTGAGGTTTTTTTTCTTCACCTTCAAGCCTGGCTCACCTTCATGGTCAACATGATTCAGATAGAAAGGGACTTCTGTAGCCAGTCTAATGCAAGTGCTTCTGGGTTATCTCAGTTCCCTACTCTAAAAGGAAATTCATTGATGTCTCCACCTGTACTGTGAGCTGTATGCAGCTGACAGTGTGTCCCACAGTCCTGGTTCCCTCATTGTCCTCATTAGACAACACATATAGCTCCTTATACACCTGTGTTCCCACTCTGAAAAGGAGAGAAAGAAAGAAAGAGGGATAATGAAAGAAGCAAAGAAAGAAAGAAGCAAGGAAGGAAGGAAAGAAGGAAAGAGAGGCTTTCATGGCGTGATGGTGCATACTCAGTCTCATCTTCACTGGCCTTACAACGTAAACACAATTTCTGGAAGTAGCTGAACGGTGAACCTCAACTTGCCATGGGGCTGGAAAGCCATAGCCATAGCTAAACTACAGACCGTTCCCAGAGAGAAACCTTCCCTTGCTCTTTTAGGTTGGGTATTGCATGTCTGGTGACTATTGGCTGTATGAAGACTTTTGTATGCAGCTCAGAGGGTCAGAGAATCTGGCCACTCCTCCTCTTCCAATGCATCGAAATCAATGGAAGTTTTGCTTGGAAGCTAAAAGTAGAGTTTGAGCCAATCTAAGATTGTGCATGCAAAGGTCTTCTAAAGTTTTTTAGTCATTCTGCTCACTGAAAATGCAAATTTGTTTAGTAAATACAATCATCGTGTGCATACTGCTATTTTCTAAATATTCAAGTAATGAGGGTTTCTCATGATTCTTTTAAACGACTGTATCACAGTTTCTTTTAAGTCACCCTTTTTAGGAATTGTTTTATAAGGATTCAGCTTGAATAAAAACATCTTCTGCTGAGGAATATCAACCCTGAGGCCAAGGGGGCATGAGGAACCCAGTCTAGACTGTCTGTGAGGCGTCTTAATGTTATTTCCTAAGTAACAAATCTTTGCTCTTGATCTGATGTGTTCAGGTTTTACTGTGAAACATCGCTTTTCTTAGAGAAGTCAGGCTCTTTTTCTCAGTAAATTTTTCCCCAGGGTTAGCTGTTCTCAGGAAAATTTTGGTCAGTGAAGGCTTTGAAGGAAAAGACTTTCTGCTGGAAAAGACTGTCTATTTAAAAAACTCAGACAATTTTTTTTCAGCACAGTAAGGGTCACTAAAATATTTTGGTTTAATAATGACATGAATTTTCTACATTTTATATTCATCCATAGCACTTAGACAAAATTGTATGTATTTCCATGCTTTCAGTTTTCATGAAATCACTTATTTGGCCTTTAAAACTTTCCAGCTTCCATGGATGGAGAGATCATTACAAATTCTTTTCCATTGATTTGGAAAACATTTTATTAATCCTAAAAAAAAAAAAAGTCTTCCATCTTTTGTTTTTTTGCAACTGTGAAATATCTCTCTCTCTACTTTGTTTTATTCTCCTCACCTTTGTAAAATTTCCCCTATTAGCATGGACAATTTACCACACAAACCACCTATCCAGCTGCACGGTGATCTACTATTCTGTTTCATTCATTCATAGAGATCTCTCGCTTCCCCCAGTGCAACCCCAGATTCCACACAATTCCTGTTTCAGATCTTCTCCAGTTTGCAGAATCTAGTCCGCTTTTGCTCAATAACAACATGCGATTTTTTTTTCAGCAGCAGTCTGAGCGTTTTGCACTCACAATGACAGCGTATATAAATGCAGATCAGTGTCTCCCTTTCATTAGGTTGTATTCCCTTTCCCTCTCAGAAGGTGATTTCACCATACCAAACCCAGTGATAAAGCCCTCCCTAGCGAAGGGGCGTAGGCAGACTTGAAGACTCCAACTTCCTTTTCAGTAAGTGTGGAGTTTTTGCCCATTTCTTATTAGAGAATATCCTATGCTAGAGCCCAATCAAAAGAAGCTTATTAAATTGAATGGGATTTTTTCCATAGACTTTTCTAGGTTTTGGATCAGTATCCACAGAAAACCATCTAATAAATTATAGAATAATTGATAGTCGATGACAAGAGTTTCAAATGCAGGCTCGCCACATCACTGCCAGTACTGCCTTGAAGATATAGGAGCTATATAAATCTAGGAATAATGAAATCATCCATTTTTTCCAGAGACAAATGCAATCCAGAATTGAAGCTGTGAAACCACATCTAATGCTAGACAAAGGGAATATTAACATATGTATGTTTCCAACTATAGGGGTATTTCTTGAACTGTGTGTTCTTATTCTTGCCTTTCAGACAGCTTTTTTTCAAACCCAGCTTTCCCAAGTGAAGCACTGCACTACACAGGTGAGAAAAAGCTGATGTAAATATGTTAGTGGTCGTTCATGCAGCCAGACACCAAGGCTTTGCTGATTTCATGTGTCTCTCTGACATCCAGTGATCTCAGAGGCAGAATATAGATGTTCTGTTGCTAATACTACTTTGTTCCTCAACCTTTGTCATTTTGAGTCATCATTTTTGTGATACCTGCTTTTCTGGAGTTCATTACTTTTTACTGGGTTGCTACTTTTATCTTCTGAAAATGTCCGTTAATGAGAAAATATTTACTCTGAAAGTTCAAATATTTGTGGTTGCATATAGCAACATACTTGTACAATCAGACAAAAGAAGTCTGACAGCATCGCAGAGTTGTGTATGCTGTTTATAGTGATAAATCTTGTATGTGGGATCAGGGTTCCCACTTTTATACACAGGAATTCAGGCAAAGGTTATAATATGGATGTCTGAAAATTTGAAAAATTTAAAAATGAAAGATTAAGGATACACTTTTGCATTAGATTTGATGGAGCAGATCTGTTTTTTATGCCTAGTTACTTTGATCTTGAAAGGGTTGCTCATATTCCCAAAATATGCTCACAGAATCAGGAGTTCTCCCCAGAAAAAAAAGTAAAAATATCCTTGGGAGAGTGAAAAGGCAATTACTGCACATCAGTTTTAACTTGTAAGGGTGCACAGACACACATGGCAAGTGTCATATTATAGACATAAAGTGGAATTTGTGGATTTTATTATCATTTATGCCCTCATTTCTTGAGAACCTCTGCTCTGCAGCAAGTCAGAGAAGGTGGGTTCTATTACATGGTGCTGCCATTACACACAGATGTGTATGTCATCATTCAGTAGGTGAAAAAAACAATAAAAAGTACACAGGATCAATACGAATGTTGTAGAACCTTTTAATTTTCATTAGGATTTTCTGTAGATATTTTTGTTTCTTGAGAACAGAAAGTTTACTGAAAATGAAATAAAGATGTTCTTCCACAAGCAAAAGACAGGGCTAGATTTATAACTTCTCCCTCTTTTTTTTTTTTTCCCCCTCCCTAAATAGTTGTTTACCCATTTTGATGAAATGATCGAAAATTCTATGTAGAGCAAAAAAGATGGTCAAATATTCCTCTGCTAAGTACAACGACCTCGCAGAGTTATGGTCCTTAGGTCTCACACAAAGAAAAGGGCAATAGGCTTTGAAGCAACCACGACGAATGGGGGGAAAAAGGGCATAACTGAAGACCACATACAGACACTGGATGGTACACCAATAGAAGGAATGTAAAACTTGCCATTTTATCATCGTAAGGGGGTAAGCCAAGTACTATGATATAGACAAATTTGTGATACTTTTGGGGCACCTGACCTCCTCCAGTTTCCGTGAACTGTTACTTTAACAGAGACTTAAAGCAGCAAACATTCATCTTCAGAAGTCCCTGTAATAAGATATGCATCGAACAATGTCAGCTTGAATTAAACTCATGTGACTGAAAACACTGGGTATCTAAATTACATCCTATTCACTTGCTTAACTTGTTTGTATGACCTGTAAAATTTATTTTTATGTAAAATACAGTATAAATGCCCTGAAGCCCTTCAAAAGGAGATTAAGTCCATGCCTAACTGTAATTGCTTTTGTGGATTTTAGTCAGACCCTATAATATATGTGATTGTAAGTTATTTTATGTACTATATGATTATTATAGATTGCTAAAAAAGACCCATATTTAAGAAAATTAAAAATAAATGAAAAGGTTATTTTCTTAGTTGGTGGCAGACATTCAAAATCTGCTTGTAAATGAGTGTATTTTTAAAACCAAATACAAAGGATCCCTTTAAGTATATGTTTTCTTACCTTGAGGCTTAGACTGAAGTTTTTGTGTATGATTTGTTGATACAAAGGTTAGATCTGGCTTCAAAAATGGCAAAGTATCTTTACGTAAAGTCCAAATACGTCAGTGTTCATACACTACCCCTTTCTAAGACCTTGCAGAACCCAAATGAAAATGTTTATTTAAACCTGTTCCCTCACTTCAGAAAGCCAAAAAAAGAAATACAACAAAATTCAAACTGCAACACCTTAGTTGGATCTTTTTCCATGACGGTCAGGCAAAAAAGCTGTTTCCAACATTTTTAAAAGAAACCAGAACTCTTTAGCTTATCTTGGTAACATGGTATGGTTCCATGAAAAACTACAGCCTCTGTAATTTTTGTTTTATATGTGTGCTCTCTGTTTGTATATGTATATGTAAAACTTCACATAGACTTGCATGAAAAGATATTTCAGGTATATTGTATGGGAGGTGTGTATGAATGCTTGAATTATGACCAATTGTCACCATGCTGTAGTTAAGGTTGTTTTCTGTTTATAAGAAAAATTGTCAGCTGATCCAAAATTTTCAGAATATAATAATAGTTTTTAAAGCAACAGAAAAAACCTCAGCTAAGCAATTAAAAATTCTTCCTCAAAATTTATCAGTTTAAATTTATACTTTCTGAGTCTCCTAGTGCTGTAAGAAATGGTTGAATGAAAAAATTTCCTAGGTTATGACTTATGTCTTCAGTACAAGCTGTGACTGTAGGATCTGTGACATTGCAACACCTCTTTTCACAAGGGGCTTTTTTTCGGGAAAAGAATTATATTTATGCAATCCCCCTAAAAGAAATGGAAAATTAGATAACAAAAATGTGCAGTTATGGATCAGCTAAAGTTATTCTACCTAACAGATTAAATCCAAAACCTAAGAAACAATAAAATTAAACATCATCCTATATTCATCTACCCAAGAAAAGTATCTCGCCAACAGTAACCTTCATATCCCATCTCAGAGCTGTGCTAAGAGGGATACCCATTCTTCAGCAGTCTGCTGCAATCTAGAGCCGTGCACAGTGTGAGGCAGCTGAACACAGGGGACGCTGAATGGGACATCCACTATTTGTAATGCAGTTAGATAGGAGTAAACTATATTTTTCCATTACTTTTAAAGGCAATAACGTCCTGGTTTTGTCTATCTTCACAAAACAGACTTTTTTTGAGAGAGTGGTGGTGGTGGTTGGGTTTTTCTGAAGGATTGTAGTGATGGATTTTTTACATTGATTTTGGATGCTGACTCTGGTTTCTTCCAAAATAAAAAAAACACCCCATAGTCTAGGTCTAGATCTCACGTTTAGATCTCAAAGTGCTGAACATAGGTATATTCTGCTTTGGTTTGGACCTGTCTTTGTCTGTTACTTTCAGAGAGTGTAAAATGTTTCTGCTTCTAGGTATTCGCTAACTCCTTCTGGAGTTGATTTATGTAAATAACTTATATCCTCCCTTCCCTGGTTTTCCTGGCTGCCTCTGTTCTGTTGCTGTTTTAATTCAGAGTGTAAACTCTTCAGTGCAAGGACTGTTTGCTTGCTGGGTGTTGGTAGAGTGCCTAATGAACAGAATCATGCTCAAACCTGGCCTCTCGGCACTCCTGTAATTCAGTGATAAATGGGAATAAGGTACTAATCTGGGACCTCAGAATCTTTAAATTGCTAATATATACCTCCTAGATACAACATTATGAAAGTAGCTAGTCTTATCATCTTCTCTGGGTTTGTTTTATCTACGTCCCTAAACTCTGAGCTTATAAACATGGGTTCTCTTGCTTCCTTGCAGTTGTTGGGATTGAACATCATCCTGCAAGAAGTCACTATCTCTTTGAAAAGGCCAGTTAAACTGCTAAAGTGGGCACTGTCTAACCCTTCTCAGTCAAAATCAGCCCCTTTGATCTTAAACAGATGTGATATTTGGTCTTTCCAATCTCAGCTATTGACTGAAAGCTGTTCAGTAACTACTACCATAAGCTGCTCACGTCTTCTGGTGGGACAGCAAAGGCCAAAAGAGACAGCGGGTCCATGTCCTGAGACATACTCAAGTCAAAAGCCTTATGATACCCTATGGCTAGCTTCTCTGCTGATGCAAAAGGATAAACCTCTGTGAAAATCAATACACTTGCCCATTTAAACATTGTGAAATTTGGCCTGCGGTTTTCCAAAAACTGCTGATCTACCAGAGGAGGTTGCCCTCACATTGGATTTTTATTGATATATCTTTGAGCCTGTGTGCCTTAAGTTTTAAAGTATGTGAAGTTTATTTTATTGAAAGGAATGTTTATGGTGTATAGTGAAAGCATTTGGCTTCTGACTTCTGGCTTTCATTCCACCAGTTCAATCATGAAGTGGTTAAGTGTTATTTATAGCTCTTAGACATTCTTTAAGGATGAACACATCTACTGAAAAAACAAACAGTCTTGGTGCTCATGGGTAATTTATAGCAATTTTAAAGTTGGGAGAAAACTGTGATCTCATACTACAGGCTAAAAACCTGTCCGTTCATTACCGCATGGCAATGGAATTTGGTTGAGAGGTTGACATAATCTGAGGAAGCTGAGATTCACAGCATCCAGGTACAACTGAGCAGGGAAAGGCTCAGTTACATGTCCTCAGGAATTACATAACTTTTCTTTCCCCAACTTTTTTTTTAATACTAGACATGAACAGAGGATCAAAAAGACCTTATCTTTTTTTCAGTGCACTCCATACATTTTTTAATTTAATTAAAAAGATTAATTCTACCGGTGTTAGAATATGTCAGTTTACAGAAAGCAGAAACTCGAGGTTTCTTTTCAGTAAGAGGTTTTTATATTTTAAATCATAGACTGTAGGGTCAGAAGATTTTTTTTTATACCATAATTTGTTAACTGTAATTTAAGTACACCTTTACCTCACTTTGAGTGAACAATGAAATCCAGTCTTGGTCTGACGTCTTTAAAAGACAGAGAACCCGTCACCTCTATTTTGAAGTTGTCTCACTGCTGAGACGCTTCCTTGCCTCAATTTCAATATCTGGCTTCAGTGCACAGCTCCTGGTTTTAATTAGACCTTTCCTCATTGGATTAAAGAGCTTTTCAGTACATTTGGTAATTTCTTCAGATACTTGTACATTGCAAGTTATCTTCCTGTTTATAAAATAGTGAGTGAGCTTCTAACTTTCTCATTGTAAGGCATCTTCTCCAACCCTCAATTTCCTTTTGTGGGTTTTGGGCTTTTTTTTAGGGTTATGTTTTTGGTTTTTTTTTTCTTTTTCTTTTTTTTTCCACTAAAACTGTTATTCAACATATTTTTTACATGTGGGCACAAGACAGCAGAATTTGTCTAACCACTGCCGTACGCTGAGGTGAATTAATCCTTATTTTCTATTTCTTCTCCTCATGCTGCCAAGGATTGTCTTCACTCACTGTGCCTCTTTCCCTTGTAGTGGCAGGAAACCACAGCTCTTCCACACAGATGGGCAAGCAAGAAGTTTATCACTCCCATCCTGCCTTGTCCTTAAAACACATTTCCTTGAAGCCACAGCTTAGTCAATGGCCAAGATTGGCAGATTCCCCCATTGGCAGTTCCCTCATTTTTTAGGCAGGAGAGACCCATTCACTGCTAGTTGTCCTTTGGTTGTTTTTTCCACACTTTCTGGGCCGTTTCCTACGCTCCAGGCTTCTGTGACCAAATGGAGGGTCTAATTCATGTTGCCTTTTACAAGCTTGGTGTCCATAAAATGAAATGGAATTATTAACTGGACACGTGCATTCCTGAAACTGTTACCACCCTCAGTTTCAATTTGTCTGTCCCTATCCCCCCCTCTGTTTATGTCCTTTCTGAAGAAATTCCGAAGTGTCCTCACTTTGCTCTGTCTTATTTTTTCTCTTTAGTGTTTGGTGGATTTATCAAACAAGGCTGACAGAGTTTGTGGAGAGATAGCTTGGTTTCAAACAAACAAACAAACAAACAAACAAACATACATTATGAGTAGTAATCTAAAAGAAGATATACATAGATATAATTTATTTTGAAAGAAGATATTCTGAAGGAAAGGTTCCTGATTTAGGCACAGATCCAGAAAAACACCTAAGCACACATATAACATTTTTTTAAAAAAGGAATTTTTTTGGCTTCAGTAGATTGCATATACTTTAAGCTAAGCACAGGCTTCCATGTTTTCGCTGAAATCTTATGTTGACTAACTCTGCATTCTAACCTGGACTGCAGTACAGTTGTTCAATAATAGCTATTGAATAACAACTCTTATTATTCAATAGTTATTCAGTAGATATTATTCAATAACTCTTACAGATTTTTACAATTCCTTTCAGCTTGTGGTGATTGTATGAATACAATATATAGCCACAGAGCAGTATCTTTCTTCATTAACCTTCTTTTCTATATTTAATGATTTCCAAATTAAAACAATACTTCAAGAGTTTTCTTTATTAAATAAAGTTTGGGGTTTATTTATTTTTTTAAAATCTCAGGCAGTGCACTGTGATCTGGCAGTATCTTGCTTATAAAAAAAAATTTTTAAAGAGAAAGTAATGAACATTTTCATTCTGTAGTGAGCTCTGCATCGCTGGGATCACTTTCCGATTTTGTATGTAGAGTTTTTAGCATAATGAGGCCTTGTTCTAGTTAGAGTCTCTAAGTACTATTTTAATGAAAATAATAATAAACTATATGCTTAGATAATTAAATCATTCTTTCATGAATCAAAACCATATATTTATGTGCTCTTAGAAGTCTCATTATACAATCTTATCATACTTTTTCTTATTGCTTATTTGGTGATAAAATAAAAACAGAATAAGAAACATCAAAATAATAACAAAAACCCCCAGTGGGTAAAAGTGTGATGATGTGAATACCTGCTATGGCTGAGATCAGAAGTCATTGAAGGAAGAAGACATGATCACACATAAAAAGCATGTAGAATTTTTATGTCATACTTCCAATGTCATGGCTTAACAGCCTCATCCTGTGAGTTACAATCATAGAACATAATCAATTTAAGTGGGAGTCAATAAGAAATTATGTTGCTTAGCACTTCCCATGAATGACATATATCGACATCATTAATATTTCTGGTTTCAGCTGGGCACTGCCTTTGAAATGACATAAGGTTCCTAATTTCTCTGAGGCTATGATTCTTTGCATTTTCCAATCTTAAACTTATCTACTGACATATAAACAACATAATTACACAGATTACTATGAATGGAATACTACGTACTTCTTGATGTTGCTTTTGCATTTCCTATGATATGGAAATAAGTATTGATATTTTGATATCCTGGTTAACTTTTAAATTAAGATTTGACCTTTTAGACCTGTTGCTGACAATAGTGCTTACTGTAAATCCTATTTAAAGCTCATTCTGATTTGTAATGAGTAAATACTAGGAAGTATTCAGGGCTTTTTAGAAAGAATAAAGTGTTCACATTCAAATTATGCCACTTGGAAAGGATCCTCAAAGGATACATTTTAGCAGTAATGATGCACTAGATTGTATTTTGTTTTAATTATCAACCTTTTGTTACTGGAATACAAATAAATCTGTGAAGGGAGAAGTGATCTGTTCTGAAAATATTGTAGAACATTTCTTTTAAATCCTCCTCTGAATTACTTCCTTTAAAGCTGTTTTGTTTATCTTGGAACATTGGGATCTATCTGAGGTAAATAAAATAACCTGTTTTATTACTATTCTCTTTTTCTTTCGTTTAAAGTGTCTGAGGCAATTTTAATTACTCTTTGTGTTAATGTGCAGAGATTCTATTTACAAGAGAAGGTACAAACTTCTCTATATTACACAGGCATGCATGTACTGTACATTATGTAGCTATTATGCTCTCAAAGGAGGGCATCAGGAT